CACTGGCTGTAGGTGCCCGCCAGCCCTGCAGGTGGAAGCAGTGAGACACTTGGTAAACGTGGTTCGAAAACATGTTATCTGTGAGTTAACTCTGAGGTTCTTTTTACTATATTCAGATTACGCAATTTAGAAAAAATGACAAAACAAGTTTTGCTCAATCTTTAAAAACCGGTTATATAAGCGGCTACGGAGACAGCTCAGTAGAATAGGTGCCTGCCCGGCAAGTGTAAGGTCCTGAGTTCAATCCCCAGGACAGAAAGAAAAAAAAAACCTGTTATATAACATAATGTTTTTATAAATTAGATCTTATAAATCAGGTCTTTCGCCACCATACAGTATTGTGAATGAAATTGTAAAGGATGACAAACTGAGCAGAGAAAAATACCAAGGCTAGACTCCTGCCAAGTGGAAGTGTTTCACCCATCTGAACCTCAGCTTTCTTTTTTTCCACAGGTTTGGTACGATAATATATTAGAACCACTTATTCCTTCTTACATATATTGCATATTTACTCTGAGACAGATTGTGATTATTTAGAAGAAAGATGATGTGTAGGAAATTGTTTCAAAACTTACACAGCATTTCTTACTTTCTTCTTGCTACTTGGCCAGGACTTGTCAGATCATTACTCTAAAAAGAAAGTGTATACCTCTTGTATCAATAGAGACACAAAAAGTGCCTTAAGTCATATAGATGATCTATAAATATATATAATAATATCATGACATAAAACTGCAGGGAGACAATATGATGTTTGCATATGTACATCATTTATTTCACTTCTGAGCATGGTCTCTAGTTGCATCCATTTACCTCTAATAACCTCATGGAGTATTACTCAGCTATAAAAAAGGTCTAACATTTTTCTGAAAAAAGTATTAAAATTCTTATTCCATCCAGAACTATCTTACAAGAAGAAGGATCAGAAGATAGTAATAGTGTGTGGGGATGGGGTGAACCACAGAAAATTTCAGGGAGGTGAAAGGCTCACATCTGGAAAAAAGAAAGCAAAATTAAATGTGTTTATTTTTTGCATTAAAGTCACAATGACAATTTAGATTTTAAAATGTCAAGTTGCACCCTACTGTGATGGTGTGTACTATATTTATAATCCCAGCTATTTGGGAAGTTGAGGCAGGAGGATCACAAGTTCAAGGCTTGTCTGGGAAAGTTTGTGTGATATTCCCCCAAAATAAAAATTTTTAGAGGTTCTAGGAATATAGATGTGGTAGAGCAGTTAGCAAATATATATAATGTGAAGACATGAATTTAGTCTCTGTTGCGAGAGAGAGAGGGAGAGAGAGAGAGGTCAGATGATGTATATTTAATGTATTGCTACATGTTTTATAAACTACATTAGTAAACTTCATCCCCTTATAATAGGATATTGCCCTTGTTTGAATTTTTAAGCACTGTTATCTAGATATATCCCATTGGTAATGAAATTGTATCTCATTTACTGACAATCTACTCTAGAGCCCAGGGAGTTTAGCCAGCTAATAAAGTATAGGAGAGGCCTATAAAAAGATCTTAATTCCAAAGACAAATTATACCACGTGAAATTAACTGTGATAATTTAAATACGGTGGCTAATTTTTATTCAGAAAAATCATTTTCCAGTTTGAAAGTTCCTTGGAAGTTTAGGGTACTTTAACAGTGTTGTCGTATTTACAGCCAACAGGAAAAAAGCCATCCACTCATCATGGAAGCTGATTTTTAATATTTCACTAAATGCTTCAATAGGTAGCAAAATTGGATGTAATGTATAAGTTATATTTACTAGTAGCTTGTAAACATGAAACTAAGGCCTTCCTTTCTCATACAGTGTTTTAGCGAACAATATTTGAATAGCATATATAAGTAATACAGCATTTTCTCAAGGTAAGAGAAAGTGCTGCTATATGACATGTGATAACAGACTTAAAACATTTCAATCGCTATAAGCTAAATGAATTGAACATAATAACTTGAGAGAAGGGCTCAAATTATACCTTTACTTGCAATTCTTGGAGCAGAAACTGAATACTATTTAAGAAGAGAATTTAATGATAAAAAAATTTCCACTAAATTATTTTCAGTTTTCAATTTGTATGTTTGCCCATTTATATGACATCAGTAACTACCTTAACATTCTACATAATAGAAAGAACTATGTAAATTACACAGGATTTTTAAAATTCACTTTGAAATGTCCCTTATGCACTTTGGTGGAAGGACATTCACTGAAATTATTCTATGAAAACTGTAAGATATTGCTGGAAAAATATCCAAATTGTCACAGAAGTTGAAGCGAAACTTGCTCTTCATGACTGTATTGTCTACTGCAGATGTAGTCTGGTTAGCCAGCTGAAATCAGCCATCTTATAGATGGTCTGTCATACAGATATTGATGAATTTATTCATGTGGAAGGAGTCCCTGGAGCCCAGGTAGCCAGCGAGAGCATCGAACATGCCTCTCCCAAATCTCAGGCATTCAGAAGCATTCTTCACACCATCCAGCCCTGAAAATGGAAGACGATTTTCTAAATTTCCAAGATTCTGACAAGAAGTCGCTTTTTCGTTTTGATTTTTAGTTCCTTTTATCAACTCTACTCATAGAAGTTATATAGGAAAGGAAATGATGGTTATAACGGATTATAAAATAGTTTTTAAGATTCTTATCTTTTCAGTCAATCTATTTGACATTATTTTCTTCTTAGCTGGAGCTAATTTTCATATGCATCAAAATTTTCTACAGAATATTTTCACATTCTAGTCTTAAATTAGCCTTTGTAACAAAAACTTTCTCCACAGATGAAGAATATTTTAAATGGTTTTAGTCCTTGTCTTGCCTAATTACTAAATTAAGTTTCTGTTCACTCTAATAAAAGGTGTCGCTGGTATATAAAGGCCAAAATGAAGTCGGAAGAGAAGAGGAGAAACCACTTACAGAACGGGCATTGTAAGTAGGGCAATGACTTCTTTGAGCTACTATTCTATATTCCTCAGCTTCGAGTATTCATCTCAAATTGAATCTATTGAGTTGACAATTTTTAAAAAAGTATTGCCAGCCTTTCAGAGTTTAAGCTTTCATCTGTTTCCAGGTTTGTTTGTAGAAATTGCACCTGCTTCTAACGGCCTTTCCATCCAATTCTGTTTGCTGGAAAATGCAAGAGACTGAATTTGCTAAAAATACCTGTTGACTGATTATATCTCATTATTAACCATTCATAATGATTCCAGAACATGAGTTGGTTTTATTTAGTGAAGAATTAGATATAGAGATATTAAGGAAATCTTATTTCTTCTTGTAAAGACTGTCATTTGAATCATATAACAAAGAAATTTACAATTCATTAACACCAAAAAAAGATTATCAGCTCTTTAACTCTTAGAATATGTATGAAATCTTTGTGCTAACTAAAAGGTTATATTCATTTGAAGATCTCTTCCCAAGCAAGCTATAATTACCACTATAGCTAGTTTGATAATTGCCGTCTTCCCCTCCCTAACGCCCAC